ACCATTTAAATGGACTGAGTCTTCCACTGCAACTTTGCTTTTCTCATGACACTTTTGCACAGGGCACCTCTCAATCCCTTCAGGAATTTCATGGACATTTATAAACGCAGGAAGCTATTCACAGCCCTCAAAGCTCGACAATCGCCCGCTCTCTCCTGCAGCCCAGAATGAGCTTTTATCCCGAGACACTGAAAAGCAGGCTGCCGAGGTTTCACACTTCGGAGGTGACGGAGAAGGGGGGCTTAATCTCAGTGATTAAAATGCTAATGTTTTATTTGAAAAGGAAAACCTTTGATTTCTAAGAAAAGAATTCTAAGACAAAGACATTTAATTTCTTTAAGTGACTAAAGACCTGGCGGATGACGCAGCCAGCATCCCACCGGGAAAAGGACACTTCCTGTTTTTGGTCCCCGAGTGACCAATGCTTGGTTTTTTAGCCTTAATGGAAACAGATATTACACAAAATGCCCTTTTCTGGGTGGGTCAGCAGGTTGCAGATTTGGTTTCTCATGGGAACATTAGAGTTCCCCAACGTTAAGATTTGCTTTTATCAAAATAATACATGCACATTGTTTTAATAAAGTCAGAAAGTATGAAAAGGATTATAATAAAAAACAGTCTAACTCTGTCTGCCTTCCAGTGACACTGCCCAATGACATTCAGCCCTGTGGTCATTCATTCATTAAAAAATGCATTGAGTAAATTCAGATTTATTCATAGATTATTTAATTTATAAATAATTTATTCATAAGTTATTTAATTCATGACTTTTTTGAGCCCCATTATGGCCCAGGCACTGCTCTCAGAGCAGGCCAATAGTGGAAGGCCCTGCCCTCATGGACCTGGCCTCCCACTGCCAGGAGACAGCAAACACTTACACAGATACACACACACACACACACACACACACACACACACACACATCGAAGTCAGACGGAGGTAAGTGAAGCAGGGTCAGGAGTGGGGCACAGGGTGAGGTGGGGAGACTGTTATCCCACATGGTTCTCAGGGAAGGCCTGCAGGGACCAGGATTTCAGGCAAGGGGAACAGAAAGTACGAGGGCCCTGAGGCAGGAGTGTGATTGGCTTGTGGGAGGAAGAGCAGAGTGTGAAGGGATCTAGCTTCACGTGAGCTCTCAGCTGTTTCTCGGTTCTTCTCCTAACGTCTAAATAATATGCTTAGTCTGCTTCTTCTTGATTTACCAGTTTTGGACATGAGCTCCTGACTTCCTGTTATGGTGGATGAGGATCCGGCTCTCTCTCACTTTTCTTTCTTTCTCCGGTATTTTCTCCACGTAGTTACATCAGGCGAGAAGGGGTCAGGCCTTCCAGACCCCGGGGGACTCCGTCGTCTGAGTGTGAGCGTGGGACGATATGTAGATGTCCCTGGCTCCCGGGACGCCCCTCTGGTAGCCCCTCCCTGGACACCCTGCAGGACGGCTCCACCAAAGTGAGGGGAACAGCAAAATGAGGGAGTGACTGTCAGGAGAAGTGAGGCCCAAGGGTGACAGCTGACAGGCCCAAGAGCGAGGTCTTCCGGAGAAAATGAACCAGTAAATGATCTGATGTGTTCGAAGGCGTGGAAAATTATCTTGAAGGTCGGTGACACACACGTAGAATACGAAACAAATGAGGGTGGTTGTACAGAGCAAAAATAATGGCATGCAAAGTAGTGTCTTGATGAAATGGCAGCTATCGCTGCAGCCACACCCCTGAGTTCTGGTGGCACCCCCCAGCCAGGCCTGTGACCCTACTGCACGGACTACTGTCATTCCTGGCTGGGCCCATTGGATGTTGCTGTCGCCACACTACTTTACACAGGCCACCCAACTGAGGCCACTGTCCCCCCATCCACTGCCATGGCACCTGGTATATCATGTTTTGATGGCATGTGCCATCTTTGTATCTCCAGGCTAGCTTTGCACCTGGCACATTAGAGACAATCAGTATTTGTTGAATGAATATGTAAGTGAATGGAGGATTTGATAGCAACTGCTCTGCACCGCTGTCCATTAAAGAGCTGATAAATTCTCAAAGTTGAATATCAGTACCTGCCAATAGTGGGATAGTGATGTTTACCTCTGCTGGTTCTTGTGAAGATTAAATGAGATGGGCATGAAAACACAAAGCCTTGCATGTCTTGAGCACCTAATAAATGTTCATTTACCCCTTGACCTCCTTCCTCCCCAATAAGGTAGCTGCCAAATCCTGCCGACGTCAGCCCTGCCCCTGCACTTCCTTCTCAGTTCAGTCTCTCAAGCAGAGCGGGACTCCTGCCACCAGCGGTATGCCAAAGAATTTTAGGTGGCACACGGACACTCTTCCTTTATATAATTAGCATATCAAACCCGTAAGGACGCTGATATTGTTGCTTAGGATGGGGCTCAATTTATTGGGGTAAAAAGCGTGAGTCAATTTAAAAAATATATATTAAGCAAAGAATAGTACTGGGGCTGTCCCAGTAAGACCAGAATCAGGAAGGAGGCCCATGGGTGACTGAAGTTTGGAAATATTCTACTTCACGTCCTTACTGCATTTTTCAGGAATTTCCAACTAGCACTAATGACCAGGCTCATCTTGGTGGGTCATTCTGTGTTGGGATTTACCCTGAGGGTGGAGTGAACTAAAGGCATTGGATAACAGTGCGAGCAAATTATAATGGAATTATCTCAAAGACCGATTCATACACTTGCAGATCCAGCCAGATTATAGCTGTGCTAATTATGCTGAACAACAGACCAAAGAGTTATGTGTCGGTATTCGGGCACATGTCTTAGTCTAATAGGATTAAAACATGTTACTGTACATACGATGTTGATTTTCTGAATTTAAACAATCCACAAATATCTTTCTTTCCTTTCATTCCCAGCAAGAGAACGTTCAACTGAAGTCTCGGGGGTTCAAAACAGAATGGAGGTTTAGATTATGTTCTTATCCTGTACATATCTTGTTCTTTTACCAATTTTATGCCCTTAAGCCACACAAAGGGATTTTAAAATAGAAACAGAGAGAAGATCTTGGCTCTGAGCTGCACGTCTGCAGCCTCTCATGATGGGGCACCTAATTCTTCCCAACAGAGGCTGGGGCTGGGCCAGGGGTCATGCTGGGTGGACAGAGCGACACCTCAGTGGCCATGCATATTCCCCTAAACTGACCTTTGTACACGTTATTTCCTTCCTCCATCATATGAAGGAAAACACTTGGTGACATTTTCCACCCCTCATCTTCTTCCTGTTGAAGCAGAATAATATTTTTGTTAATAACAGGCATGGTTTATCTGTGGAGACGAGAGAGTAAAAGGCGCACACGTCGTGATTGCTGACTATGGTAAAGTACATGGACTCTTTCCCAGTTATGGATGAAGGTCTAGCCCCTCACTCGCCCACCTGGGCAGCTTCCTCGCTGGCCAGTCTGAGCAGGGAGTGCTGTGTCTACCAATCAGGGAGTGGACGGTTCTGCCGACTTAGTTCCACCTGTGAGCTCACTGAGGAGCCCCCTGTGATACCGGCGTCCAGTCCTGGTCACCTGGTGATACCCCACGCCCTGAGGTTAGTCCTGTTGTCTGATGTTCTGGCTCCTTCCAGGCTCTGAAAGCTGACTCCCAGCCTGAGTCCTGCCGGCCTCCTGCCCTGGGCCCCCACTGCAGAGAGAGTCCCACCACGTCGTCCTTGGTCCCTGCTGCTGCCTCTGTGCAGCCAGATCAAAGCCTGCAGGAACACCTGCCACTGCAGGTGGAGGCCCTGCTCCGACCCCCAGCAGAAGCCCCTCTGCTCAATGCCGCTAGGGTCCAGCTGCTCCCAGTCGTGAAGAGTCAGGCCTTGCAAACCCTCATCTGACGTTTCTGTGCAATAAGGTTACAACGTACTAAGAGTCAGACGCCTGATGACCAACATCATGGTTATTGTCACCCCACAAACGGCAAAAGTAGCAATGCTTGTCTACATTGTGCACATGAGTGTAAGTGAGCATAAGTGAGGCCATCTTGTTACACTAAAGGGCCCCAGCCCCTCCTCTGTGTGACTACTTGCTGCTCTGTCATATACTCCAAAAAATTCACATGCTCTCCTGATTTATGTCCTCCACCTATGCATGTCCTCCCCTATAGCTTGATAAATTAAAACTTTGTTCTATGAGTTTCTCTCCAGTAACAGGCTGACCACAGGTGGGAAACACACCTCCAAGGTATCCATCACAGCTGACAGAAGAATGGAACAATGTGATGCCTGGAGGCTGTCATGCCTGGGGACCAACATTCCTGGACCCCCTCCTCACTGCCCATTTCCCCTATATAACTGCCTCAAGATTCTGTGATCCTTGAAGATGGTTTTTTTGAGACATTAATCTGCCATCTTCCCAATTATGCCAGCTAACCAAATTAAAACTTCCTTTCTCGATCTCTATCTTGCTGTGATTAATTGGTTCTGATAGTGGCGAGCAGAGCAAGTCCATTGCTTGGTAACATGAGGAGTTTTCCAAAGCACTTGAAGAGTTCTCTATACAGCTCAGAGGAGGAGAGGCAACAAGATGAGGAGCATCTCTCCCTGGGCTGCTTCCAGAAGAGCCTGAGGCGGTTTCTGGGCGCAGGACATGCCCCCCCACCCCCCCCGGGACACGGTGCACCCACATGCCGTAGAGGTTGTGCAGTGCCCGTGCACTGGAACCCTACATCTCTCTCCTCCCCCACCCCCCACGGCAGCAAGGAAGATGCATGAGCGAGAGCTCACCAGGGTGATGAGAGTACACGGAGGAAGCCCAGGGGCAGCAGGAGAGCTCTTGGTCCATGGCGAGGGTGGGCGATCATGGAAGACCTGCCTGGAACCACAGCTTGTAAAACACGCAGGGGCTGCTGCAGCCTTGTAGGGAGGCCCTCCGCCCTGAAGAATCCGGGAGAAAACCCAGACACGCCAGGGGGCTCAAAGCCTGTGGAGCAACTAACCCATCTCCCAGGACGCACATGAAACCAAGCTCACTGATGAAGAAAACCCACCCAGTGTACAATGCCTACTGCCCGCTCTCGGTACCAGGAGAGCCAGTCATCTGAGAAAAATCTGCCAGAGAAGCAAGAAAAAGACCAGTATTGGGTAAAGCATGTCTTTGGAGGAAAGAGAGAATTCATGGACAGAAGGGAAGTTTAAAATAACTCTGATTAGTATTCTCAGACATATTACTGACATCTCTCCTTCTCTCTCTCTCTCTCCAGGTTTCATGAAGGACTCATGGGTCTTGAATATTTTTCAGTCGATGAGTTGCTGACCATTATTGCCATTCTTGTTTTGGATGCTCAGATTGTCCTATATTTGGCCTCTGGGAGCCTCTATAGATGGTGAGGCTGTGTCTTCATGGATAAAGGAGGAAGAGGGGGCCAGCACGGTGGCGCAAGCAGTTAACTGTGCGCGCTCCGCTGCCACGGCCCGAGGTTCGCTGGTTCTGATCCCCGGCGCGCACCAAGGCACCGCTTGGCAAGCCATGCTGTGGCAACGTCCCATATAAAGTAGAGGAAGATGGGCACGGATGTTAGCCCAGGGCCAGTCTTCTTCAGCAAAAAGAGGAGGATTGGCAGATGTTAGCTCAGGGCTGATCTTCCTCACAAAAAAAAAAAATAGGAGGAAGAGGAGGGGGAAGGGCAGGAGGAGGGGAAGGAAGGGCAAGGGGAGGAGAGGAGGAGTGGTGCTCCAGGGCAGGGGAGCAAAATGAGGGGAAGTGTTTCAGCAGAGGGAATAGTATGTGTGAAGTCTGAGCCGGGAAGGCTGTTTTGTTTGGATAACGGCAAGTTCAGTACAGCCAGGGTACACCACACAGGGATGGGCACACAGACACGAGGCCGGGGAGAGAGAGAGCAAGGGAGAGAGGGGGAGGGAGAGAAAGAGACAGAGAGAGGGAGACAGAGACAGACAGAGGGAGACAGAGAGAGGGGGAGAGAGAGAGACAGGGAGAGAGAGACAGAGAGAAGGAGAGAGAGACAGAGACAGAGGGAGAGAGGGAGAGGGAGGGAGGAGAAGGAGAGAAAGAATGAGAGAGAGGGGAGGGAGACAGAGAGACAGGGAGGACGGGCCTTGGTAGCCCATGAGCCGTGTTCTTCAGAGAGCTTGAACTTAGTTTAAGAGCAGGGCAGCTACTGGAGGAGCCTGGCGTGACTGGATCTGCTTGTGGGGACGTCACTCTGGCCGGAGTGTGGGAAGAGGCTGGAGGGGAGGTGGGGATGTCCACCTTCTCTCTGATCAGATTCCCTTTTCCAATCTTCTGTGGACAATTTCTTTTAGGCCCGAGGCAAACGTGCCCTCCTCTGTGAAGCCGCCCTAGATTCTCCCAGGTAAAGAAGACTCTCCCTTTGCTCGGTAGGGTTTGCTTATAGTTCCTGGCACCTGTTTCTCTGCACACATTATTCACTATTTGTGAGCATGTCTTAACTGCCCTCTCGGGCTGTGAGACCCCGTGGAGAAGGATTCCATCTTGCTGACGTTTTGTACCCTATACGGAACTAGCACAGTGGCTGGTCCCGAAATAGGTGTTTAAGGCACGTAAGTAAAAATAAGGTTTATAGGTCTATTTGTACAACTTTATTTCTATAATAAATATCAAGTTCTCGAGGGGAACAAAACATCGTAAGGCCAGTTTTGGAAACCTCTGACCCTGACAGTATACAATGACAGGGATGCTATGTGTTCCCATGACTTAACAGTGTGCAGCTTTCCATGTGGAAATGACACAGTTGGCAGTTACAGGAGACACCTTTTAACCAGAGGAGAAAGTACCGTGGAAAATTTCTGCTTTACTTTTTAAAGATATTTCTTCCTTTGGTCAACAGTCCTTGAAGGTTACTGGATGTATCCCTTTCTTGGTGTTGTTAAACATTTTATATTTTACTGATTTTGACAATTATTGGGAGAGAGAAATTCCATGAGGAGGTTTCAATCCACCATCTCAACTCCAAAGTCATTTTTTCCCCTGAATCTTTTACTGCGACGGGGGTCACACAGGTACCCTGGGCATTCCATCATGGTACTTGCCTTGACCCACTATGTTTCTGATGGAAACTTCTCAACCACTACACCCACCACTCCCAGCTCAGCCAAGTGGCCAGAGAGTGTTCTAAACAGAGGAAGCTCTTGTCTAGGAGCAACCCGACCCTGAGGAGCTGGGCTGACCAGCCATGCTCAGTGGCCAGTCACACTGGCTCTCTCTGCACCAGGACAGGAAAACTCAGGTGGACTGGCCAGCAGGAGAGAGGTGAGAATGTGGATTCCAGCTGCCATATGGACATTTTTAGAAAAGGAGATGGACAGAGCAGCTGGTCCCAGAGGACCTGGGTCCTGAGGACTCCCAGCTCCAGCCCAGACCTGCCATGCTTCTTGGCCATGAGCCCTCCATGCGGGGCTGTCCCATCTTATTTTCAGCTGACCTAAGTGAGCCTGGGTCGCCATCCAATAAGCCCAATAAGTCCCAGTAAGGAAAAGGAGCCTAGGTATGTTCCAGCCCTTCCTTTCATTCGGAAATGTTATAAATATCACTGAGGGTCTGCTCTGTGCAGACACCAGCCAGGGATGTGAATGCATAAAAAATTTAAAATCAGCTGCATCACCATCACCTTTATCCAATGAACACTTCATTTTTCTCTTTCCTTATCAGGTGCATATGTGATATCTGTTATATCACAGCATGACGATAATGATTTAGAAGTTTTACAGGTTGAATAGGTATAATATAGTTATTTACATAATGTGGTTATTTATTTATTTGCTCTTGTTTTTTTTGGTGAGGAAGACTGGCTCTGAGCTAACATCTGTTAATCTTCCTCTTTTTGCTTGAGGAAGATTGTCGCTGAGCTGACACCTGTGCCCATCGTCCTCTATTTTGTATGTGGGGTGCTGCCACAGCATGGCTGGATGAGTGGTGCGTAGGTCCGTGCCCAGGATCTGAACCTGAGAACCCCGGGCCACCGAAGTGGAGCATGAGAACCCAACCACTACGCCAGCAGGCTGGCCCCATAGTATTTATTTTTAATTTATGTTTCTTTATTTGGTGTGGCTGAACTTTATTTTGTCGTTTGGTTTGTTTGTTTACCAGCTTTATGACCTTATCTTGTCTACTCACAAACATTTCCGGAGCACCTACTGCGTGCAGGACTTTCTAGGAGCTGGGGCAACAAGGATGCATCCTTCAGGCTCTGCCTGTGGGGCCTGCCTGCAGAATCCCTGGTTCTCCTGTGCTGGGATTCTTGGATTCTCTCCGACTATGTCCTGGGACGCCCCCCATTACGTCACATCTCAGTCCCTCCTGACGTCTGCCGCCGTCACCTCTTACCAAGGGTGTTACCTCTTCCTGGGTCCTGGCTTCCCTGTGACTGTCAGGTACACGTTTCCCCCATGGAAACTGGGGGCTGCCTTCCCAGATCCCTCTCCTCACGGTGCAGCCCGGCCCTTTGCACTCTGGCCTGCCCACCGAGGTGCAGGAGGCCGTGGCCAGCCGTGGTCCATGCTCTGACACTTCTTCAGGAGGCAGCCCACTCCATTGTTAGCAAATGCTTTCTTTTTACTTAACCCAGTGGAGAACTTAAAAAAATCCCAATGCCCCAGCTCCACCCCAGCCCAATTAAATGAGAATCTCTTCAAATGGGGTATTGACATTGAGGTCTCTTTTTTTCTTAAAACCACTCTGGGTGATTCTAATCACCAGCCAGAGTGAGGACCACAGATTAACTGAGGCCTTCCTTCTGTCAGCCGAGGCCCAGCCTGTCCTCCTGGGGCCTCCGAGAAATTCAAATCCTCTTCATGCCCAAAGTCAGCTCAAGGTGAAGCCCTCTTGGCTCCTTTATCCATTGCTCAGGAAGAGATTTCCAGGTAGTTCAACCTCCTGGCTATCTCCTGTGGATATGTTCTAGTCAGCCGAGCTCCCAGTTAAGGAACGGTGCTGGTTTACTGGTTACAGGTGAAGCCACAGCCCATGTCCTTCTTGGCCTGCACCGAATGTGAAGGTGGCCCGCAGGTATGCTGCCTTCTGGACATTTCCATCACACCACATGCTGGAGAGCTGACAAGTTCTCCTGCCTTTCTCACACACGTTCCATGTAGACAGATTTCTTCTACCTTGAAATTATACTAATGGTTTTGTACATTTATTCCTAATAAATGTCAGCTTCTTACCTTTTGTCCTCTAATTGACTTTTCGCTCCTGGAGGACAGTGGCTATTCACATCTCATTGATTTTATATCTCCGTTGCCTCCCACACTTGCTGACTGACCAATAATGAATACACAAGAGAAGTGTGTTCTCACCTCCCACCCTTACGCAGAGAGTTGAGTCCATGTGCTATCTGTTCTTCTCGGCCTGGCCACACCTCATGCCGTGCTCTGTGGTTTGCAGCATCTGGATTCTTGTCTTTTTGCACACTGAGCCACCTCCATGGCTCCAGCCTCCTGGGCCTCCCTTTCTCTGTGACGCCTCAAACATCACAGTGAGCGGCAGTGAGACCTAGCCTGCCTGGCTTCCTCGTCCCACTACGAAGTTCAACCACACAGATTCTTGTAGAGCAGCCAGTTGCTTTCAGATCAGCTCCCCGCTTTCTCTTATGGCCCAATCAGTTACAAATCGCTTAAGTCAAAGCAGTTGTCCAGTAAGAATGAACTAGTGGAGGCCTCTTGATTGGATTTTTAGATTATATTTAGAAAGCCGGTGTACTGAAACTGACCATTTTTAGTAATTTTCCACCTACTGTGTGAAATTCATTCTTTTTTTATTTTTGGTGAGGGAGATTGTCTCTGAGCTAACATCTGTTGCCAATCTCCCTCTTTTTGGTGAGGAAGATTGGCCCTGAGCTAACATCCGTGCCAATCTTCCTCTAGTTTCTATGTGGGATGCTGCCACAGCATGGCTTGATGAGCAGCATGTAGGCCCACGCCTGGGATCTGAACCCACGAACACTGGGCCGCCACAGCGAAGCGTACGAATTTAACCACTACACCACTGGGCTGGCCCCTGAAATTTGTTCTTATATCATACAGATAAATGCTTCATGCAGAATGTTTTTAAATTTCCTTAATCACAGTCAATG